CACTCTGAAGTCTTTTCCCAACAGTCAGAATCACTGTAAGTGCTACTGGCATTGAGTAGTATAAGTTTGAACACACTGACGTTTTTATTATTTTTTATAACAATTAATTAATTAATTCAAGTAAATATCAAAACTTGTGTGATATTTCTATATTATATATCAGAATAAAAACTGGACCTCATATCATTAACATTAGTGAGAAAACTACGGTAACAGACTGATGACGTTGCTCTGTGTCTGCTGGATTTGTAAGTAAGCTGCTGTTTGCAAACAAATCAGTCATGGTCAGCTTTACAAGATGATAATATGCTGGGGAGCTTGTGGGCTTTTTTTCCTTCTGAACTCTATAGTGGCTAAAAATCAATTAATGAAGCTTTAATATGGATTCAGGGGCCAGATTCTCCAGACATTCCACAGGGGACTTGCATTGTAAGTACAGGAAATCCTGTTTCTTGCAGGTCTAGATTACATTCATTGACAAATATCAGCGAAGGCGTCGCATTTAACAGACAGATTTGCCAAATAAGCAGATTATGGAAGGAGGCCCATCAGACAGCGGCTCTGCGAGAGAGGTGGGGCGGGCAGCGTGTCTCAGGTTTAGGAGTTGCCCATTCGGTGAACAACAATGCCTCTGATTGTTAAGCCTATTATTTCTCTGCAATGCGTTGAAAGTCTTGTGCAAATTTTGCATCCACGCCACAAAAAAAGCCTGCCAAAACTGGGCTCCAAATATGTGCAGATCACTTGAAACTTCTTGGCAGATAAGCCTCCTGGCATGCAGGTGGTGACAGGACAGGCAGAGGAGCACTCAGGGGAAAGTGATCTGGGGTTTGTTGCTTCAAGCACAAACGTTTGCGGTAGCAATCCCATCAATAGAGGTGTTTACCCCTCAGGCACGGCGAATAGAATCTACCCCCTTTACTCCTCCACAAGAAAATAGAAGAGACTCAGAAAAATTATGACACAAATCTTAACTTTGTCTCTGTGTTTTTATAGTTATTTACAAAACGGATCATATTATATATGACTGTCATATATCTTATCATAAGGCAATATTATATGTAACAAGTATGATGATGACATTATTCAAGCTGTAAAAATGTAATAAAAAATGAAGACATGTTTTAACACTGGAAATGGAATTGTGCTAAAATAAAAACGAGTTCCTCAATGTTTTGACAAACCAATGTCACATGCAACACGAGCTTGTTACCACGGGTTGAAATGATCGAGAGACAGAACAGCAACAGGGAATGCCATTGAAAACAATTAGGCCACTGTGAAATCAACACTAAGCAATGATCACAAATAACAGAGCCATGAAATAAGTCCCATCATCATGTCATTACAGTGAGCACCACAGACACAGAGCTTTCTTGTAGAAAACATCATATGCAACAAATTAATCTCATCTCAAAAGCCCAATTACTGTTTGACAGAGGCTATGTATTAAGTACACAGATATGACATTCTGGATAATAATGGTAAAGACGGATGAGATAAGTGTGTATATGAGGCAGACTTCATCAAGCTGTTTTTCTTTGCTCTGGGTAAATATAAACCGCTGCACAAACCAGTCATGCCATATAACTCGATGAAGGTTTTGACTTTCATAGTTGTTGCTCACAATGTGCTGGATTTAGTCAGTTTGTTGTGAAATTACCCATCTTTTTTATAGATACTGTGACTCACACTTAGTCATTCACTAAGTTACACACACAAATGAGGGCACGATTTCATGGTTTAAGTTTTTTTTTTTTTAAAGGCAATATGTCAGTTTCATTTGACAGAAATCTGTCATCTGTTATTTAACCAAATAAAAAAACAAGGCAGCAAAGTTACATGTCAACTGCAAGTTGATTTCATACAAACAATAAAATACAAAACAATACATTACAGAGTAAAAGTGAATGCTCATGCATCAACAGAGGAGGTTAAATATACACATATAGTATATAACACAAACAGACAAGAAGGCATGAAGACATGACAAAATTGTTTGAATTTTGCAACAACGGTTTGTGGTCGTAACTTCTGTTTGAAACAGGTTAGAGAGATGAGTCTATAGCCTGCAGGCCATTCCAGGACTACTGTTTCCAATCCGGCCCGACACCGCTCCCACTCCCAACTATTTGTACGGAGCGTCTTCCTTAAGTCGGCCTCGATGTAGACTCGTTGTTGAAAGTTTTATTCAACCCACTTCCACTTGGTTTGAGATGGCGCTTCATATGGTACAAAGTCAGAGCACATAGTAACCTGTACATGTAGCCTTGGTACATTCAAATATACCAAAGCCGCATCCTTCGCATAGAAAGTGTCGTTTTCAGTCGGTTTCATTGTGAGCTCTTCATTTAACTGCTAATAAGTGCCTACTTTTTGTTTATCCATCTTTTGCCCTTGACTGTCTTTCCCTGGGTTTATTTTATTGTTACTCCCCTCATCCCCTGGACCCTAATTGGGGAACACAACCATTACCTTTAAGAGGCAAACATATGATGTTGTGGATCACTTTTACTTTTTACATATCACAAATTAAGTTTCAAAGGAGTCTGTTGAGGTCGGGGTGGTGGATGGGTCAGAAAACGCAAGGCTTTCGCAGGAGACTGCTGTTTGTGTCCCATGTGAACAAAGGACATTTTATGCCTAAACATAATCAAGTACATTGCTGCATTTTTGTTATGTTTCAATTTGTATTAATTGTTAAGCCAAACCATGATGTTTCGTTGGCATTTTTTGTTGTCTTTTGTTTCAATTCATGCTAACCACATTATCCGGGAAGAAAACAACATTTCCCTCGAAGCGTAATTGAGAGTGCAGTCTAGTTGTAAGAGAACGCCATTTTGTAGGAGACAAGGTCATTAACAAAGAGATGAGGCGGAGGCAGATCCTAGCCAAGTATAGGCTCAGTGACCACAAGCTGGCAATATAACTGGGAAAGCACACAAACTCATGGCAACCAGAGGAAAACAGAATATGTGGTCACTGTTCAACAGGTGAGGCTGAACCAGAAATGCTCTCCCTCCTACAATAAAAAAACCTGCAATTAAGTAAGGAAGATTCACTTTCACAAGTTCAACCCTGTAATTTAAAATAATAACAAAGTACAATGAGAAAATGGGCCCCTGGCCACAGGCAACACATTATCGCCCCAATGCATCACATACCGCTGGTAGAGTCGGTACTTCTAAGCTTCACATTATCACGCACTACGTATCCCTCTAGCAGCAGTTATGGATGTGTCTTTGTGGTCAACACACACACACTCGTGACAAGCAAAGGGTCTTGACAGGAAGTTAACATTGAGGCAACAAAACAATGTTGGTTTGTATGAACTTCACTGACTAAAGACTACCGGGACTAGCAAATGACAAATGAATCATGAAACATCTCTCAAATCATATTTACACTCGTGTATTGACAAAAACTTTGTTTTAGCTCGGAACATTGTTTGCAGTACTTTGTAATGTACCTGATCATTAAATATCATAACATGAGACCATCCTTATTGCTAATACGTATAGCTTGCTTTTGTAACAAGACAGTTGAATTCATCAGTGTTTGTTAGGTTGATCTCCACACAATAAGATATGTAAGGAAGTATAAGTGAGCAATAAATGATATGCAAGGCCGAAGAAGTTAATACATCTCTAGATGTATACAGTACTGCTCTTGACTTTAGAATTTCACTATAAATCTGGTCAATAGGAGGAATTTTGCCTCAAAAACTCATTCAATTTTATCATCACAGATTTTTTATTCAATATTCCCATCTAATTATTTTTGATTTCCAAAAACATACATTTAGTCTTCTTTATATTAAGAGACAATTTAATAATATCAAATGAAGTTTTGATGATTTCCAGCTTCCTTTCGACAGAAAACAAAAAAGTCCTTTAAACTTTTCCAGAGGAAAATACATTTGTATCGTCTGCAAAGATGACACATTATTCTCAATAATTAGCTATGATCTATAGTATCTATAGTAGGCTACTGTATATAGTATTTGTGGTTGTTTTGCCCCTTATCGTAATTGTTGTGTCTCTTTGTGTCTCCTTACAGCTGTTTTGCATCATTTTGTAGTTGATTGGTGTCTCTTTGTAGTTGTTTTGTGTCTCTTTGTCATCGTTTTTTTTGTTTATTTGTGATCATATTGTGTCTCTGTGGTTGTTTTGGGTTTATTTGTAATCGTTTTGTGTTTCTTCGTGGTTGTTTTGACCCTTTTTGTAGTCGTGAGTCTCTTTGTGTCTCTCTGCAGCAGTTTTGTATGTCTTTGTAGTTGTTTTGGTGCCTTTGTAGTCTTTTTGTGATCGTTGTATGTTTCTTTGTCGGCATTCTGACGTCATTTTGTAGGTGAAGGCCGGGGGTCCCCCTGACACATTGGGCCCCTGTGCCTTGGCCAGAGGCCCGTTCGGCAATCCATCCATGCTTGCTGCCAAAAATGTATCAACATGCCACAACCTGATGAATATGAAACACACACACAGACACACACACTGAGTGATATGATGTGTTGAAATGTATGATATCCAAATATATGCATAGGATATACTGAGTGTCATCATAAATACACATCAATCCTCATGTTGTGTTGATTTTCATATTACTTTTATTGTGTACTTTTGTATTTTGTTACTTTGGCAACAAGGTTCTTGAAAGACTTCCACGCCAATAAAGGCATTTGAATTTGAGAACAGGAGATCATTCCGAGTTGGAGAAGAAACCAACAACCACAAAAACGCGATTAGCCTAAATGTCAAACGTTATGGGCACTTAAGGGTTAAATGTCTGGTAAAACCACCATGTATTATACAATTAAAGTCAAGCAGCGGGAGGAGTCCTGAACCTGCTCTCATGTGTGATCTAGATCTGTTTATACTGGCAGCGGTGGTTTCGGAGTGAACCCTCTTCACACCGCGGCTCGTCAGAGGGCGGCTCTTTGGCTGCTCTTTACGCAATCATTATAAAAGCATAACCCCCTCCCTCCCCGCGCTGTCCCGCTCCACCGCTGCGATGTCTATGTCGTAGATAAATGGGCTAGATGCCACACGCCGTTAGCCTGCAGGTTGCAAAGGTTGAAAGTTTGATTTCACATTATTTGCCGTTCTTCTTCCTTCTCCTCCTTCTTCTTCCTCTTTGGGGCTTTGTTTCTCCTCTGCTCGGATACTGCGCTGACTTAAGCATTGGATATGTGCACACAGGATGATGACAACCCCTTTCCTCCCCGTAGAAGTAAAATAAAATAGGCTTTCGCACACACTGGATTTACTCCTGTCGTTCCATATGAAGAAGCCAAAAGTAAGTGATTGTTTCTGTTTCTTTGTTTGTTTTTTCTACTTAAGGAAATAAACCGTTTGCGCTGCAGCGTGACGCAGGGCAGCAGGACACGCTGCTGCTGGTCTCGAGCCATCAAACTTAACCTGTCAAACGATAGTTTAGCCTTTTTCTTTCTTTCTTTCTATTTTAATTCGTATCAGGCTGTTTTGAATTGGCTTTCAGAGAGATGGGCTCCACGAGCTGTTTTGTAGGAATGAACTGGATATTTGAGTGCCAGCGGGATCAAAGCTGTTCAACTTCCCTTCTCGTGGAGTGGCTTAATTACCGAGCCGTCAAACCTGCTTTCCTTCACACATTTTTTAGCTTTTCGAAAAGAGACTAAAAATTGTCACCTGTCCAGAGTTTATACAGCGGGTCCACGCCTTCATTATTCCGTTGTAAAGAGCGGCACTCCCGATGCCTCCCCCCGATCAACATGATCATATTTACGGCGCCAGTCTGGCACCGTTTGCTCATCTGTCACTTATTCAGTTAGTTATTCTTGAAATGATTTGTAACAAGGGCTGTGGTACAGGACTAGAGACTCACGTTACACCTATTTTATTTATACATCTGAAGATGTGTCTGTTTCACTGTGGAGAACAGACATGATTGATCCACCTTTGCAGCCTGGCACAACTCACTGGTGCGTAAATTAAGCTGGCGTTAATCAGGTGAACTGCGAGGTCAGGGTGGCAGGATGTGCGTCTCTGGATATATATATATTCCCGTATGTGTAAGGTGGAACAGACCGTTGTCCATATGGAGACGTCAAATACGTTTTTCATCCGGCAGCCTGCTTTTGCGGTCTGTCTGTTCTGTGAGGGAGCTCTGTGACCAGCAGCATTGACAACATTATCTTGGCTGACCCGAAAAATGTACAAATTGTCGACTAATGGCTTCTTTCAAAGCTGCTCTAATTATTATCAAAGAAATGGCTAACATTTCTAATTTCTAACAGCTGCTGTCCTTTTTATTTTTATTTTATTTGTATGACTGGTATAGTTCTACATGAAAGGTTTGATCCATACCAGCAGGTGATCTCCTTAAGGCAACCAACTACTCTTAAAAAGAAAGAGCCTTTTTAATGTATCTTAAGTGAGAACAAATATTTATTTCTCTACCTTTAACAAACCCTGTGCACATGTACGTTTGGGATCCAATGTGAAAATAACCTCTGCCTCACTCTGAATGACAATTTAAGCACCTTTTCGATGACTTAATCAGATAAGAACATGTGAAAACATTAAATATAATAATAATAATAATAATGATTTATCGGCGTGTGTGTGTGCATGCCTCTAAAAATAAGTCTTTGAAGTTTCCTGGAGGAAGGGTGGGCATCTCTGCATCCCTGCTGCTGTTAATCATATTGGCAGCAGAGTCTCCCTTTATGTTTTTTTAATGAAGTTCCACAGTAAGTTGTGCCTGGCTGCATCAGTCGACACCTTTCATCTTTTATTTACTGTCCTTTGCCTACAGCTCCTGCTTTCCCCACCATCACGTAGTCACACGTAGAACAAATAAGTAGTGAATCTGCACCAGGGATTCCCTGATCTGTTCTGACAGCCCATAAATCCGTGGGGCTGCCATCAGTTTTTTTTTTTCAAACTGATGGCAGGACTGTCTTTGGTGTTTTGTAATAACCCAGGTATCTAAAGGTTTAGACCCACTCTTAATGAAAGGGACGACTAAAACAAGCATTCTCTGATGAGCTGTGGCACACGAGGTGAATGTATGAGAGAGAGAGAGAGAGAGTGTGTGTGTGTGTGTGTGTGTGTGTGTGTGTGTGTGTGTGTGTGTGTGTGTGTGTGTGTGAGTGAGTGGAAGAGAAAGTGTGTGTGAGAGAGAGAGAGAGCACGTCTGGACCGCCACAGGACATCTCGTCACCAGTAGGGAGCGCTCGTTTTCTGACACCTGCACAGTGTGGGAGAGACCAGTCACTCAGGGCTTTGGGAGGTTTACAGAGATGTCACATGCCCCCCTCCCCCCCTCCATCCATCTGTCCAGGTGGCTGGCTGAAGGTGATGAGCAGCTGGGGTGGGTGTTGTCCAGTCGGAGGTGTCGACCTCTGACACGGGCTGTAAATCCACAGGCCAACTGCTCACATAATGTCGGCTTGATTTACCTCGGCTTTCTTGTTGTGCCCTCTTTATCTGCTTAGGCACCAGCGTGCAACATGAGAAGAGTGCTTTTATTTATTTATTTATTTCAGGAAATCTTCATTGTTTCAGATTTGATAAGTATAGGTGCAGACCAGAAGGCGATGAAATAACGGAGCGCTCTGCATCATTAGATTGATTATGTCACACAACAGGAGGTGGGCGTTGTGTCAGAATTACACTCTCCAGTAATCACAGCTGAATGGGTTCATTTAAGGCAAATTCGATTATAAAAAAGCAAGTAATGTGGACTTGACTCTGCTAAGGGGTTAATGATTTGTTCTCATAGCTTAGTAATGGCATCAGGTCTACAGCAGGGAGGCATGGAGCTGACATGCTGCCTTGGTGTACTGTGAGCTCGCGGCGATGATGGTGATCCTGCTGCTGAATCAAATAATAACTTCCTTTATCAAAGTGGACCCCTCATTTAAAAGCCACATAAAGACGTTTTTCACTAGACTTTCAGTTACTAACGTCCTCTAATTGTCAACAGATATATCATGGATTAAGGCTCATTTGTCAGTGCCGCACATCAAACAGACCCTGTGACTCGTGCTTTACTCACCGAGATGCATCACTGCCACGTTATTGTGTGTCGGCATGACTAGGCTCAATGTTCCTAACCTTCCACTTCAAGAATTTTTTATTTTTTTTTTGTGGCTGCAACATTTAATTAAACATTAAAAACATGTGGGTATCTTGGGTATTCATTTTTTAACAATGCTGGCATTAACCAGTGGATCAGTTCTGCTGTTTTCTCTCAAAGGTTGTGTGAGGTTGAAGAGGTTCAGTCACGTTGATATGGAGAGTCGCATGTTGCTGGTCAAACTAAATTCTTTTGGTTTGGTTATGTCATTTTCTTTCCGTGCCTTGTGGGAAGTCTGAATACTTTCTATTTCACATTCATTTGTAGGATACTGGGAATACCTTAGAGGACGACCACAAAAGCTGTAAAACTCGACCAAATGCTAAAATCCGAAGTGTAACAGCAGAGATTCTTATCAACAACAATAATTTCAAAAAATAAAGATTTGAAGGTCTCGTGTCGACGGTCTCAAATGAAAATAGCCAATGGTGATGTTTTGGATGCAAAGCCTGCGCAGGGCAGCATCGTGCCCTGCGCAGGGGCCTCCCCGTCCTTCGCACACAAAGCTGATGTTTGATCTCAGAAGCAGGACTCTGGCCTCATCTGCAGCGTCCAGGTCCGAGCGGGAGGAACTCAATACTTGAAATAAACTGAGCCTCTTTTTGGGGGGTTTGTTTTGTTTTGTTTTTGGACACCACACACTGCCAGAACCAAGGTTGTGCAGCAGTGTTATTTTTGTTTCATGAAATTGAAAAGGAATTGATTATGTAAGTCATGATAATATACACTTCTTCCATCTCAGTTAGATACTTAAGAGAGTGTCGTATTGTGGCTAAGCAGATGCATCAGCAGAGACCAGCTAACAAAGTGTTTTTTGTTTTTGCAATGTTGTTTCTTAGAACTTTGTTTAAGCAAAAATTTCATAACAGAAAATGCGATCTACTAAACTCACGAGTTCCCAAGCTGGTTTTTCAGAGTGTCATTGCTTTGTGGAGTCGCAGCCTAAAATGTTGCAGTTTTTTTTCTTTTCCAGAAATAAATGGCATGCCAAATCCATAAAAGCAACAATGCGGACATGTTTGGGTTACAGGATTTTCCTCTGTCACAGAGGTCGGGCCTCGTGCATTTGACATATATTTTTTTCTGCAGCAGCATGATGATCAGTGTGCTGTTGCAGAGAAAAACAGTGACTGCATACCAATGCTATTGTAACCCTTTCTTAAAGCAGGCGTGTCTTTGGGTTAATGTATTCAGCAGATAAGATCACCAAGAGCTCCTTGAAGTCCTCGTCTGAAAATGTGTCAGATGAGTGAGTGACATAGGTTTTAGAACATATACCCATCAAGCAGGAGACCGAAAATACACCCTGGGAGAGTTTAGAAACAGTGTCTTAGATCCCGGCACCATTAACTGCTACACGCTGAGGTCTGTCAGTTAGAAAACTCCTGCAGGCCTTTTTTCAACCTGGCGTTCCAGTTTGAAATGACTGGTTGGATCGGTTCAGTAATTTATTAGACGTTGGTTCGGGCTTGTCTTCGTACACAGAGTGCCGTGAGAGGGTGTCATGTGAATGCGAACATTAGTGGGAAAATCGGTGTCATATGGATGCAGTACATGGCCAGAGCCAGGCTGGTGGGGTGTGTTCTGTGGGTTGGCAAGAAGTGTGAACATGAAGCCACAGTGAAACTTTCTTCAGAGGCAATTACCAGCACTTCACATGGCAAAACCTCTCTTTTTCCTTCCTCTGAACTCCAAGGCTGTGTCTCAAGGGACTCCCTATTTCCTACTTGGTGCACATTTTGCAACATATGCTTGCTTGAGTTTAAGATCAGAATTCATGCTCTACTTGGGGCCTTGCATGATTCATCAGTGTCTTCAACAGATGATCTGTCGTCCATAGTTTTACTATTGCAGCCGTTGTTTGCTGGAGAATGGGAAGGCAAGGTGGGCGGGAGATAATGGGGTGCAGAGCCTTGAACAGCTTTGTACGTCAGCGTGAGGATTCTGTACTCGATGTGGAATTAAACAGGAAGCCAGTGTAGGTTTAGCAAGATTGGAGTCATATGTTGATGTGTAGCTTTGGTTAACTCCGCACTCTCTGCTAGCACCTGCCTCATTGTCAGTCTCAACACAGATTAGAAAGAAGCGAGATGGCTCACTTGTCCATCTTCAGCACTGGAAAAAACAATTGCTGCTTCCGGAGTCGATGAGGAAAGTAGCTAACGAGTGAGCCA